CGCAGTACATACACATGCACAGGGATGATCGTATCACCATTAAAAACAACCAAATCAAAGGAACACCAAATGTTCTTGACTGTAGCTGCTGATAAAAAAGTTTCTACACACACACACACACAGCCCCAAGGGCCCCTGGGACTTCAAAGAGCCGTCTACTGTACCTCAGCGACACCTCGACACCAGGTGCCGCAGAGAGGAGGAGGAAGGTTGGAGGGAGGGTGGAAATGGAAAAAGTGAGAGGGGGAAGAGGGAGAAAGAGGAGTTGGACAGGGAGGGCATACATTAAATAGGCAGGAAGAAATAAAGTTGGGAGGTGGAGGGAGAAGGAGAGGAGAGGGGGACGACAGAAAGAGAGTGCAGGTAGAAAAGAAAGAAAAGGGAACGTGAGGCAGGTAGAGACGAAGACACAGGAAGAAAAAAAGCTTCAAAAGGTGGAGAGAAATAGGTTGAGAAGAAAGAACAACAGGGATGAAAGCTGACCCGCAGACAGGCAGAGACCTAAAAACAGGCCAGAGAGACAGGCAGGCAGGCAGACAGGCCGGCAGACAGGGAGCTGTTGCAGCCAAAGACAGAGAGATGTGGGGGAGGGCAGTAACACCGTGCTGCTAATACCCCCGCTGCTTTGTAGTGAAGAACCCCAGTTCCCCTTCTAATGGTGAACTGTTCCTTTAATGATGGCAGTAAAACACACTCGTCACAGTTCAACTTTTACAACTTACCAGCCTCACACACACACACACGCACACACGCACACACATGCACACACACAGCAAATCTCAAATGCAGAAGTAGTGTTTATAGTATGAAAAGGTTTTGTCACTGCAGCGACCTATATGTGGGCCTTTGTCTAATTTGGGTGCCTGCAAGCGTTTGAATTAACTTGTTGAGAAGCTGTCAATCACGCAGACAGGCAGGATGTGGAGATATATTCTAAACATAAAGCCATTTGATGACTGCTTTGATCCCAGCTGCCTTACAGTCACACACACACACGTGTTTCTGTACGGGCTGCCGCTCGGAAACCTTTTAAGTTAACACAGGAAAAAAGTGAACCTGGTGTCAGAGCCTCGCTCTGTCGTGGGGTTCATCCACACAGGGGAGGTGGAGCTGCGCAGGGGAAGCACAGCGTCAGCTCTCAGCCTCAGGTGGTAGATTTCTTTAAGCCATGTGGACGATTCGTGTCAGAATATCTGGGGTCTGTCATTGGTTAAAGGGTAATACTCTCATTTGAAGCTAAAGCAAGGAGATGGATGTCTGAACTAAAACATACTTAGGTCAAAACCAGATTTATTTTTTGATCTCGTAAGTCACAGTCGTTTTATCTGACCAGACAACCAGATGACTTAAATGAGGTCTAACATGTTGATGAAGCTGTTTTAAGACATGAACTCCAGAATTCTTTCCATATGAAGAACGCAGTAAAAGATTCACAACAACAGGAAAATGTCCGGAACGTTCAGGCAAAGAGTGGCGCCCGCTGAGAGCATGCAGGAGGCAGGACGCTCTGAATAAATTCCCAGCTCTCGAACCTCTCTGTCTTTCCAAGTTTGTCTACATGTGTAGCTCCTCTTTTTCATCCTGAAATATTTATTCTTCCAGATTTGCGTCCTTCGAGTGTGTCAGCAAAACGTCCCCTTGCTCGGCAGAGTTCTTCTAATGTCCTCCTGCTGTATTCTCACATTGGTGGAATTTATATAGATTAGAAACTGTAGAGACTGTTGAGTTTGTGTCTAAACTAAAAAGTATAAAGAAGGGGTGGTGTGGTTTCACTGGGTGTCAATTTGTGTGACTGACTCCCTACAAAAGGGAAGTAGAGCTGTGAAGTGTTGCACTTGCATGTTCAAACTCAGCAGCAACGTGCAGTATATCATGAGCTGTATCTACATAAAGCTGAACACCCAGCAGTGAAACTCCAGAGCCTCATTCACCCCCAGCCCACATTATTCAAAATGCAAATTGAGACTGCAACCTATACGTTAATGGCCGAGTTTGCATTCTCCTCACAGAGCGTTCAGCAGAATCGATTTCATTGTGAAAAAAAAGGGAAAAAAGAAATTGGTATTTTGAAAATGAAAAGAAGTGGTGCCTCACAGGTGGCCCGCTCTATCGCCACACACCAAGGTGACCCAATGTAAAAACATGACAACCCACCCCACCACCCTGCTGATGTGTCCTTTAGCAAGACACAGTAGATCCGGCAGAGCAGTTCTGGAGCAGAGCGTGACCCCTGACCTCCCAGAGGAGAGGCTGTAGACAAAAAGAGCCTTTTCCCGATGGGGATTAATAAAGTATCACATTATCATTTGAATGCAGCTGATTGTATCTGCGTCAGTCTACATTTCAGCCGGCAGACCTTTTCTGTAGAAACGTGTGATACGGCCGTGTCACGCTAACCCCCCTGTATCTGCAGGGAGAGGACTGAAGACACAAATGTCAAATGATAAAGAAACAATTGGTGACGCTGCACGCCTCCCTTCGCTCCATTCATTTATCTATCAAGCTTAAATTCATTATAATGTCACGTCTCTTTGCTTGTATTTCTTTAGTTGCCTTGCTACGGTGTTCAGCCAAAAACACTAGTGACAATAATATTGTATGGGTAAAGAAGAAGGTCTATAAATATATCACATGTTTTTCCTTTGGTTCAAACATAGTTTTTTTTAGCCGTTTCAGGGAAAAAGTGGCACAAAATGCCTCGGACGACTCTCTCACATCTCAGTTTGTGCTCATTGCAGCGTTATTGCACAAGACCAGAGGCCTGCAAAAGCAAACTTAAGAAACAGCAAACACTGACATTCTCTCATTCTTTCTTTCTCTCTGTCCCTGTGGTCAACAATCCCTCTGCTGGCCTTTATCCCCAAATCCCCATGGACAGAGAGTCAGGAGAGAGAGAATGCTTAAATGCTTTGAATGATGGTGTGGAATGCTAAAAAGAAGTGTGTGTGTGTGTGTGTGTGTTTGTGAGATGGTAGGGGGGAGTGAGGAGGAGGAGGAAGAGAAGGGGGGGGTCTCCTGCCTGGTCTAAGATCTGGTATGCGTGACTGAACAAGAGGAGGAGAAAGAGAGGAAAGAAGGAAAGAAAAATCCCCCCACCACAACCTGCCTTCCTAACTTCTAAAGACAGACAATGGCTACTGGCCGGCCTGGCAACCCTCTGCGTGTGTGTGTGTGTGTGTGTGTTTGTGGTGTCACTTCACACACAGAACACGTCCTGATGGAAAGCAGAGAGAGAGAAATCTGCTCTAACCAACTTTAGCTCTCATTACTCGGCACATGCAGCCGCACAGACGCAGATCTGCCACATGTGACATAAAGCATTGCAAAAATTAACCATAACTAAAACCCTCAACCTTCTAATCAAACAATGAAATCCTCCATGTTCACCCTCCTGAGCTCCGAGACCATGAAACCCAGCAGCCCTGAACACCTTCATGATGCATTTGAGAATAAAAATAACATAGACATTGATGGTTTTATAAATAAAAATCTGCTTTCTATAATAACAGATTCCTAATAATAAACGCCTTGGTGATCATTAATTACACTGCCACTGCAGCCAAATGAAGACAGCAAGCATCCATTTTAAATTTCCTTGTAAATAATGAAACAACACAACAGATCTTTTTTCTTTTTTCAGCCCTTTTGAGAAGCAAGACCGGACTGATCTGGGACAATACTCAGAAAAGTGTGGGTGGTTATTTTAGAGCAAAGCATTGGTATGAAAGCTCTTATTGTAGCCATGCATCAATATGGATAAAACCTTGTTACTAACAATATCAAATTACCTCATGGAAACTCAGTTTTGTTTAAAACAGACAGGATGGAGACAATAATGACAGTGCTACACCTCCAGAAAAAGTAGTCCACACCGCTCTTTTCGTTCATTATATAAATATCTTTAATTGTTTTAACCGTAAGAATATAAAACAATTTAATTTTGGGATTTCTGCATTTTTTCTTTTCTTCTTCTTCTTTACAAACACATAATATACAGTACATAATTTCATTTTTCAAACACACACACAGCTTGTTCAGCAGGACGCACATCCGTATATTAATTTTTCTAGCAGGTCATTTGCATTACATTAAAGCACGCACACACAGGCCCCGTGTGCTCGTGCGCGTTCGTATAAATGTGTGTGCGAGAGAGAGAGAGAGAGCGATGCATTCCGCTTGTAACCCGAGACAGAGGAGAGAGAGAAAAGAAATCGATCGCTCCTTCTTCTATAAGCATGTCTCAAATATATTTATTTTATTCAGGAGAGAGATGGAGCAAAAGAGGAGGAAAAAAAGACATGTTCATCCCCCTCTTCTTCACTCTGGAGCAACATGAATATGAATGCGACCTGTGTTGGCATCAACGTGGGAAAATAAAGAAGAAAAAAAAACAGAGCAAACCCTGATTCATTTCGATCAATAAAGGGTATTGATAAGACATAGAAATCACTTCAATTTGAAGTACGACGCTCTGAACAACATCCACTGACATTTATTTCCACCAGCATCCCTTGTAATAAAATACCAAATACCCCTATAATAGGTTACACTTACATATATTGCGTTTAATAATGGCCTGCTCATACCAACCCCTCATATTGTATCTTAAAATATTCCTCTATCTAGTGTTATTATAGGATGACTACAGGTATTTCTATAATGTGGGAGCTGAAAATCTTGTCTCCTTAATATTGTTGTTAAAGTTGGACTTCATCTCTAAAAATTGAAGATTTTTTTTAAAAGCTCCCGTACACAAGCAGATTATGTTTTTTGCATAAAGTAATCGGACTACATTTAACCACTTGCTTTCGCTTTCTCTGGGAAATTGTTGTTGTTTATTTATTTGGTGGGGGGGGTAAATTACCAAAGGTAGTTAGATTGTGTCCTGGTCTCCTTTTTTCAGCTCTGCTGGCGGAGGAGGGAGGGAGGGAGGGAGGGATGGAGGGAGG